TCGTCGGATTTCATCTTTTTTTCTGTTCTGTTTTTCTTTTTTTTCTGTTTTCCTTTCTTTTTTTTTTCTTTTTTTCTCCTTTTTTTATTTCTTCTCCTTCTTCTTCTTTTTGTCTGCATAACATATCAGAATAGTTTCGAATATGATGAGATTAGAACGTGGCAGATGTTGGTCCAGCTGTTATCACGTTGACACATATGGACGAACATAGATCATTACTGCTGTCTCCTATTATAGTGTTATTTATTTTTAATATTTTCACGAAGCATATATATATATATATATATATATATATATATCTAACACGATATTAATCGTTTACAACGTCTTCCAATATATTTTTTCTTTTTTTTTTTTTTCTTTTTTCATTTTCTTCTCATACACATAATTTTCAAATGTAAAGAAGGAGAATCGTAGAAAAAAAAAAAAAAAAAAAAAAGAAAAACCAATGAGATAATTAATAATTCAATAAAATTTTTGTTTTAAATATTGAATTTCTTATAATATTTCTAATAATATTATATAAAAATGATTGTTTAATAATACGATCGATATTTAATAGTTACGTGATCGTATCTCATTCTCTCTTTCTCTCAAAAGAGATGCTGCTTCGAACTATCGCAAAGCCATAAATCCTATTTGATTTTCCAGCCATCAATTTGTTATACGGATGACGTCACGATCTAATTTGCCCGTATATAGGGGGTAGAATACCAAAGCAAATCCTACTCTCTCTCTCTCTCTCTCTCTCACTCTTTCTCTCTCTATCTCTCTCTATCTATCTATCTATCTATATATCTCTATCTCTCTCTTGTCCTTTCCGTTACCATCGGCGTTGCGCATCACGAAAACCACAGCAACAGATGCGATGATTTGTGGACAGTAGCGTGAATCAGTAAGCTTCCAAAATTGATGCGTTCTGCGCAAGGAAAGCCTAGTTTTCCATCCTAACGGATAGTTTATGTTATTTGATTACAATCGGTATCACCCTCGCTCACTCCCCCTTTCTACCATCTCGTCGAATTTCACACACGAGAAATCTTCTTTATCTCTTCTTTGTTCTTTGTTTCTTTTCTCTCTCTCTCTCTCTCTCTCTCTCTCTCTCTTTCTCTTTCTCCATACGTTTAAAATATTCGTAAAATAAAACGAAGAAACAAATGAAGAGGCAAAGGAAAAGAAATAAAAAAAAAAAAAAAAGAAAAAAAAGAAAAGAAAAAAAGGAAGAAGAAAATAAAGAGGAAACATTTCTCTTTTATTTAAAGTTATTCTCAACATGAACTTCATATTAGATCGACATTTGGCATATACTTAGGTACGTTCTGACGTATCAAGGACGTATACCTTTTGGAAGACTGACACATCGAATGTCTCCTTTCGAAATCCGTGCGCACATGGCAAAAAGAAATATATCGAGTTGGCGAGAAACTTCCGTACAATCCATTGACACACTTCTATACTTGACACGCGCGACTCCTCGGGGATTCACATTTTTCGCGGAATAAGAAGAGTCGCGCCACGTAAAATGGAAAAGGAACTGGAAAAAAGCCGCGACAAGAAAAAGGGAGGTAAAGTAGTAGTAGTAGTAGTAGTAGTAGTAGTAAAAAGAAGAAAATGAGAAAAAAGAAGAGGAATAAGAAGAAGAAGGATAGGTCGTAAAGGGTATATAGAAAAGGGTACACATTGCTACGTTCAATCTCCTTCGATCGATAGGAATGATACATCATGAATTCGAATAGTTTCGAATTTTGTTAAACTATTTCTTTCTTTTTTCATTTTTTTTCTCTTTTTTTTTCTCTTCTTCTTTTTTTTTTCTTTTTTTTTTTTTTTTTTTTGTTTTTTTTTCTTTTTTCTTTTTTGTAAAAGTGAAATCAGTACAACGGCAAACGAAAGATTACTCGTTAAAAATAATACATGTTTCATGGTAACGTTAATTCTTTTAACCAAGTTTTCACTTTTAGTTTTGATTCCTCTTTGTTTTTTCTTTTTTCTTTTTTTTTTTTATTATTAATATAAAAAATATAAAAATTAACAATAGTGATATATATATATATGTGTGTGTGTGTGTGTGTGTCTACATAATATGTCGCAGTAGTTTCTTTTCTCTTTTCTTTCTTTTTCACTTTCGTATTTAAAACGTCGTAAATATAAGAAATACAAAAAGAAAAAAAAGAAAGAAAAAGAAATAGAAAGAGATTAGGGAAAAAAGAACTTTTTCTTTTTTCGTTCTATTCATCGGAAACGATAAAGAAATTTTGTAAGAAAAATATTTACTATATTATATAATATAATCTAATTAAGATGAACGATTTTCACCGGTGATGTCCAATTTTCTCTTTGTAACGACACTTCACTATATTCTGCAACATGCGAAACTCACTATATAACCTTCTTATTCTATCTATTTCTATCTCCTTCTATCTTTCCCTCGTGTTCCATGATATAATAGGAAAGAGGTAGGGAGTGCAAACCGCTGTGGTCAGCTTTTGCATGTGCAAGCTATACGATGCAACCAGAGATACTAATCCCAGTTGGTTCTCTATCTCTCTCTCTCTCTCTCTCTCTCTCTCTCTAACACACACACTCACTCATTCGCTCTTTCTCTCTCTCTCTCTCTCTCTCTCTCTCTCTCTCTCTTATTATAGGAATAATATTCTCTAATGTTGCTAATTTCACGAGAGAGTCCTGTAACCAACCCTTTCAAATCTTATTTTTTTTTTTTTTGTTTCCTTTATTTTTTATCTA